GCCGAGGACTGTGGCCCGTTCCAAGAGACTTCCGCGACGCTGTGTTCGACGTTGTCTTTGCACTCGCAGACAGAAGCTGGGCAATCAAGATCCATGTAGCTGCTATTACAGTAGGTCAGTAGGCTTGAGGGCTGCCCCAGAGATGACTGAAAGATCTGTTACAACCAGAAGCCTGAACGCATCTCAACGCATCTCAACGCAAGGAGCTTGCAGCCGTCGAGGTTGGCGGTGGCGAATGCACCCCCTCCGACCTTCATGTGCACCTCGTCTTATGTCTGTGGCCTGCTCACATGTTTTCTGTGTCTTTCCGACGACAGCAGCTCCATGGCAACGTCTGTGCCGAACGATCTTCAGGGAAAACCTGTTGCCGTACCTGACCGCGGCTTGGTTGCGAAGTGGTCAGTGGCAGGGCTTGTCGACGAGCTGTTGCAAGGGCGTTCTTTTTGAGATTTCTCTCTGCAGCACAGGTGCAGGAGCTGCTGAACTGGCGCCTGCTTTCACGACGCACCAGAAGCCCTGAGGCCTGCACTCTGCCTCCCTCCGCCTGGATCGTTTTTTTTTGAGGCGACTGATTCGTCTCGTGGAGGTTATTGCTTGAAGACGTGCGTGTGCGGCTAGGTGTTGATACAGCACGTGGCCGAGATGGGCAGCATGGACAGGCTCGGAAGGGCCCGGGCATGTTTGTCCTGTCTGTCAGAGGCCATCCTTTTTGCTTTTGCAAGCACCGAGAGTTTGGCCTGTGTATGCTTGTGACATCTGCATGTCATCGGCACTCGAAATTGCTGTGCAGGCCAGAAGCAATTGTCGCTTTCGCGGAAAAGGTGACCATGTTCTGCCACAATCCGGAGACATCATTCGCGGCAGCCTTAAGAGGCGATGACGAGACGCAGAAGCTCTACGAGTCCGCGTTTGGAGGCGATGCCAAGCAGCAGAAGCTCTATGAGTGCCAACTGACTTGTTGGCCAGCAGTTGTAGTAGGGCTTAGTTTTCGACGAGGGTACATTACAGCCATCACAGTATACATACATATTTACATATATATATATACATATATATATGTAAAAAGAGCATACTTAGTTTCGAGCTCCGTGGGAATATTGCTGTGTTGACTTTTGGTTTCGTGTCGGGAATACTTGTGCAAAAAACTCTACTTTACGTCCATCTTTCCGCATGGCATAACTCGGTTCTACCGGCTTTACTCGACTAAGTGTCATTCTGAGGTCGGTCGTGGTGTATGGCCCTGGCGGCCAATGATCGAGTCCATTTTGCCGAAATCGACGTTCGCCGCATTGTCGGCAACAACCTCGAATCTTTGCTGTGGCACTGCCGAAGTGCGGATGCGTCCGTTGCCAACGCCGCCGACCTCCTTGTTTACAACTACGCTTCTAATGCCATTTCTTTCGTGCAGCAGTCAATTGCAGAGGCCACTCTCGCCCTGATGGAGGACTCGGTCAAGTCCAACATACCCACGAACTTGAAGCAAATTGCCAGATACAGCAGAACGCTTACGAANNNGCTGATGGACCATTACGTGTCCACAACGCATGTGATCAGCGAGCTGAAGATGCTGTGGCTGGCTGACGACGATCCAAAGCGAACCTACGCAGAAGCGGAGCAGCAACTGTGGATGGTGGCCAACTCTGACAGAACAGGAGAAGTGAAG